TGTGTGTGTGGGGGGGGCAGCTGACCCTTCCCCTCTCACCAAGCCCTGGTGATATGTTCTCACAGGCCTGGGCTCCTTCAGAGTGGCTCCTGCCACAGTGCCTGGCGTTATAAGCACTTAATATTTATTTATTTATTTTCCCACTATATAATTACTTTTAATGTCGAGTTTATAACACATGGGCCAGACTCCAGTTTATAAATTCTCAATTGGTTTGTGAGGCCAGTAGGGATACTTCTTCTTGTCTAATTTGGTTTCTGGGAAGACTTCATTCAAGTCCTCAATGGTCATCCGATCGAATGGAATTATGTTCCTCATCTTCTCCAGCCCTTTCTCGTACTGCTCAATCCTGGTCTTCGACCTAGACAGAAACTCAGCACAACTTTTCACGTCTTGTTTTTCTTCTGCATCTACCAGGCTACTGTATTTATCCTCTGGCACAGGCACCTTCAGTGCCTTAAACTTCTTCTCAAAGTCACCTACCAAGCCAGCCTTCGCAACATTGGCCTTGTAGTAAGCCCAGTCGACAGCAGGTGGATTCTCAGGTAGAGTGGCCAACCTGGAGGTGAGGGTCTCATTCCAGGATTTCATGGAGTTAGCAATGGCCTTCTGGTTTCGGGGTATGATCTCCCCAAAAGCCATCCAGTCAGTGGTTTTTAGAGCAAGTTTTCACCCAGCCATCTTGAGGTTCTTCGCCGACCCCGGCGGCCCACAGTTCACAACCGCCGCACTTAATATTTATTGAATGGGTAATTAGGACTAACTGATCCTTACGACCACTGAATACCTCAAACGTAACACCTCCAAAGCAGAATTTGTAGTCTGCGCCCTTGCGCCTAATCTTTGCCATTTCTGTAAATGGTTCCCAAATTCACCAGTTGCTCAAACCCCAAACCTGGAAGTTAAATTTAATTCCTTCGTTTTCTTCATCCCACACCCAGTTCATCAGTAAACCCCGTTAGCTTTACCTTCAGTATCCAGACACTCTTCATCATTGATTCTGCAACCGTCATAATGCACACCTCCATCATCTCTTGCCTGGAATACTGTAGTTATTTTAAACTGTCACA